TTTAGCGTTGAAGTCCCCCATAACAACGTTGTAGTGGGTCTTAGTAGTGGAGTGGAGGGCCCTCGATATATCATCGAACATATCCTCCACTTCGTCGTCCGAGTGTGTCGAGGTCGGTGCGTACACTTGCACCACCTTGAGGCTATACCTCTCGGTGAGCTTTATAATAAGGTACACTACCCTGTTCGACACGCTGGATATTTCCACAACGTTATCGGCAAGGGACTTATTCACCAAAAACCCAACGCCACCTTGGGACTGCTGGTCTCCCCCGCGGAAGTACATTAGGTGGCCAGATTCGAGCGTTATGGTGTCCTCCCCCTCTCTTCGGACTTCACTTAACCCTAAAATGTGCCACCTAATCTTCCCAAGTTCCACCTCGAGTTGCGCCAGATGCGAGTCAAGCCGTAGCGTGCGTCCGTTGTACGTCGCCAGGGTCAGTCTATTGTGGTGGCCTCCCGTAGCCCGGAGATTCTTCGCACCCCCCGCCCCGCCGTTACCGTGGTCGCCACCGTGACCAGGAATAACGGGGCTACCGGGAACTGGGGGCCGTGGCTTTTTGTTTGTGTGCATTCAAGGTATTGCCCATAATCGCCACGCTGGGCAGGCGGGTTGGCGATCGCAGAACGTAGGTTATTTCACTGATGACGCTGCTGCCCGTCACCAATGAGATTTTCCTCCCCTACGTCGTTGGATGGTTATACCGCCATCGGTCGGTTTGCCAGAGCCTCGTCTGTTGGTCAACAGGGTGCACCACGTGAAGGTGAGGTTGGCTTGGGTTCTTGCAGGTATATTAAGAACCCCTTACACCCCTGCCTATATTATTACTTAAACAAAAATCTTTTTACCCCATTTTAGAACAATTAAAACTTCATGAAATTAATAAAATAAACATTACACACACCGCGAGTAGTTATTGTAGGTATACATAAACAGAGAAAAATAGAATCGAATTTAATACAGAATTATTTAAAAGTAAAGGTACTCTTTGACAAAAGAACTAAAAAGGTCGGATTCTGTATAATATTTGAACACTATTAAATGAATTTTAACTATTACAATAAACGTCCTTCTAAATCTATATATTATATATTGAAGGTAAAGGTCCTTACCCTAAACGTGATACATAATATGAGTTATAAAAAAAAAATAAGAAAAAGCGTAAAATGAATCAATGTCTGTAATTGGTCGTATGGCGCCCCACCTCATGCTTTCAGAATCTTTTATAGAGAATTCATATAATGGGTGTAGATAAAGTCTTTAATGCAACAGTTTATTAAAACGTATTAAACTTAAAAGTATTAAACAACGATAATAATTGGTATTAAAAATCATGCAATAATATTATCACACGAACCGAACACATTCGTGTTTACCCTTAGTACCCTTCGTTATACTTACAACAGTTGCATTAATAACTATATAACTATATTATTTGTCTACAATCAGTTCAGTTTCAGTAAAAAATGTGCGCACCTCCGGAGGTCGTAACTGTAGTTTAAAAGTAAAGATAATGTTTCAACGAATATATTTTGTTAATATCGGCGGATTTTCGTTTATATTTTTTTTTAATAAGCTCACGGTACCTCTCAATCTTTAAAAAATAATATTTTTATTACCATGTTATTTTTTTCTTTTGTTTTCGACCCAAATGGGAAACTGGTATATACCATAGAAGTTCATATATCCTGCTTGGTGTTTGGAATAGTACCACATGAGTGGAGAAATATACAGTCCGTATTTGCACTACAAAAATTATTCTAAAACTATTGAGTCAAATCGTTAACAGCATCGTGCATTTGACTTTACACTTGTTCAAATTGGTCTTCAGTTTACTTAAGGTAAATTAGTAAATAATGTAACGGGGAGTATCCAATATAATTACTTCAAATTACTTGAGGGGAACCCCATTAATAAGGAAAATTATGAAGGCCATTTAAAAACGAGTGAATAATTAACATGCAGCTTTTATTGGCAAAATATACATTTAATAAACAGGGTCGATAATTATTGAGAACAAAAAAAAACAGAACTGGATATAATCCATTCCAAAAGGAAGAGTAAACTAAAAAAGAGGAAAATTATTTTATGGGAAGGATGGGATCTTTTTAATGGGAGAAAACGGTATATCCTCATTATCGGGAAAACTACAACTCCAATCGAGAAAAACAATGGCGAAATAGTAGGTTATCAAAAAATTTACAACTTATTTATTAAAAATTGTATTTATGGCATCAATATATAACATTATGTGGAAAATCTAATACCTATAAATAAAACCAAATGGTCTTCCTATATTTCAAACCTAGTCTTAGGCAAGTTTCAGTGTTTCTATTATTTATTTAAACGATAAGACTAAATTTGAAGTTCAAAATAAGCATTTAAGTATTAAATAAAACATGTCGTTAACTTTGTGTTTATTAAAAATTGATTAATTGTACGGCATTAACATCTAGCGACAGGTAAGTCTTTTTAGGTTAAGTGGTTTATTTTTAAGTTTAAATTTAGCGTTCTCTAGATTTCTTATATTCTCTAAATCTCTAACAAAAAGATGGCTACTTGTTTAAAAGTCGAGAAAATTTACAGAAACGCATCTAAAACTTAATTTTATATAGGTAATTCTTATTATGTAGTTCTAAGCAAATAACGAATTTGTGTACACATTTTCTCTTATCGACTGACGACCCGAAAGTAGGGTTTCAGTGTCACGGTCGTTAATCGTTCAACTACTTACTTTACATGCCTGTCCTTGTTTACATAACGTAATCAAAGTAATATCCGGATAATTTTATAGGTAGCAAATACCTTTTATTATTTACTGGGTAACTTCGCAGTTTCCTTGTATAAAACATACTTACTGCTCGAATTAAAATTATAGTTGACTTCCATTTATGCTCTGGCACAATTCAATGTGCAGTAAACAAAGTCAAGGTTAGAAGTGTGTTCGGGACAGTATTCACAGGTGAGAAAATTAAAAATGCAGTAAGGTATAAAAAAGCCGATTAACAAACAAAAAACACTACACTTGTCCGTCAGGTTTCGCGCCAGATTTAATTAGGTATACTGATAAATATCATCAATAAGTAAATACTTAGTTTGAAAATTTTGAAGATTCAAATAAAATCAAATTTTGTTCATCTAACAGGTAAATCATGCGACAAGCTTACATATTATATAAATTGTGTAATGACGTTATCAGTTGATAGTAAGAGTTTTAAAGGAGATTTTTATTTTATTATTTTTAGCGTATTTAAATAAAAGCTTATTACTAAATGTTTTTTATTATTAATTTATTTTTCACTTATTAGTTATAGCTGGATATAATCAAGGACTTCAAAACTCTCATATTCCCAGCAAGTTCTTTCATTAGATACCCATATTATAGGAAATTATAAAAAAAATAGCCCACTATCTTTTTATATTTTTCGAGTTATTCTTAGCAAGCCCTTTAATTTGATACCCATACATACATCTTCATCTCGTATGTTCCACCATATTTGATTATTATGACGTCACATAGCAAACCATGCATTGTCATCCAAACTAAACGTGTGTATAAAATTTCAGCTCAATCGAATGAAAATATCTGCTTCAAAATTGAGTGGAAAGATTCCACCCGAACAAACATACATACTTACATACATACATTGCAAGTTAAATAAAAGTTTTAAAAAACGGAAAATCTGGCAACACTGGTTCGGGATACACAACAAAAATATTGTATATCCTAGTACCTTAACAGCAATTATAACAATACATTTGTCTAGATAATCTGTTGATAGCTAAGCGAGTATAGAAACAACACATTGATTGCAAAATAAATTACGATAATTTGTAGAATTATCTAGTTCTTTACTATCGATTAATATTATTTGAAAAAGATTCTTCTTTGGAAAACTCTTAATAAAAACTTTTACAAAATATTAACCTCGATAAGTTCCTGGTCATTTTCATCATTATGAAATACACTTTCTGTGGGTAAAACTAATATTAGCTGTAATTTTTATATTATTTGAGAATATCGAATCAGAGTTCCAAAGTACTAACGGGTAATCCGTTTTCGTTGTGGTCGAGAGTTACAACTTTTGATCAAATTTAGATGATTCGATGTTCGTAAGCTTTTTAATGTTAACGTTTATTAGGGAAACGCTTTAAATCTAGTATATTAAGTCTAGTATAAGTATTTTTCATAAAATATTTTTAAAATAATGTTTCAGCGATGTATATTTTTTCATTTATAAAGTGAAAGTAAGTTTATGTTAATAAACAGTACCTACTGTTAATACTTTGTTGCTTTAATCTTAAAACAATACGGAAGACATCGCAAAAATTAAGTATGAATTCAATTGTATGTAAATTATAATATATCCAACTCGTTCGAAACGGCATCAACTGTTTTTATGAATTATTTTATTATTTTTCGACAGCCACATGAACGAGGTTGCGGGCACAGCTAGTATTCTATATATTTATTAATAACTTCATACTTATTGAATATTAATCTAGTAATGTTAAAAGGTTTTGTTATATTAATATGCTTAATGTTATGAAATTTTTCATCCGCTTTTCACCGCAGCTGAAAATATTGATAAAGGGAAAATAAGTAAGTATTTTTGTATTATTAACCGATTCACAAGATTTAATTTATCCATTTTGATTTTTTTTTATTTACTTAAAAATATAAGGTATCTTTAACAGTAATTTTGTTTAACACACAAAATTGCTTATCATAAATGTACCTACCTGGTTAAAGTACACATTATATATAAATATTTATATACAAAATCATTACACTCTTCGCTTACACAGTATAGTTAACGACTGATATATGTAATTTATATCTTAATACATATAGAGTAAAAACTACCGGCGCGGCATGCGCTAACCTGATTTAAACTAAAGATAGTCATGAACTCGACGCATTTAACTTATTTCGATGCAAAAATGAACTCATTTTAACTTTTAGGCATTACAAATATTTAAATATGAATTGTACGCACCTTCTTAATGTTTCCGAGGTTTTAAAAATAACACACAAGTAACGGGTTTAGAAAGTATCGTAAAGAAACTATGTTAAGTTCGTAAACAGTGGACGGTTGGATTTATCAACGCGTCCGCATTCACACATTAATAAACCGATACTGACCGGCTGCGCGGGCGCGGATGCATTTTCATACTTTGCCCGATGTTAATGAGATTTATGTTTAAATCGTCATACGCACAAGTTTATTATAAAAAACCCTAATCGAGATACTTACATGTTTCATTCATTCATCATCAGTCTTTTTATGTCCCTACTGGGGCACACGACTTCCCTATGGATGGAATAAGGAGGTTGGGCCATAATCCACTAAGCGGGCCCAGTGAGGATTGCTGGATACTGGCGACTGCAAATGCAAAGGGTAACAATGCTTTAACGTGTCTTCCGAGGCATGGAGGAGCTCGAGATATTACATTTTTAGTCACCCATCCAATGACCGGCCTCTACGAAAGTTGCTTAACTTCCACGATCGCAGACGGAACACGCTAACCACCTGCGTGATTGAGCACCTCAATTCAATTTTCTTTGTTTGTGTTATCCAAATGTATAGATAGATATGTATTATCCTAATTATTCGTCTATTTCTTTTGTAAAGTTTTTGCTCATTTTTAACACGCTTTTATTATATCGACTTTGTATCTAACTATGTAATGAAATCTACGAATCTGAATTACACGCAGTTCTAAATCTTGTATCGTCATGAAATTTGACAATTATATGTTGATTAGGTGACAATATAATATTATGGTATCATCGATCTGGTCTGATGATGGGACTGGAAGGTGGCTGATGGAACCTTGGACTGCCTACTAGTAAACATATCGAATTTGGGCTCATTAGATTCGTTTTCACATATTCTATTATTTTTTCTTGATGACGAGAACCTGACGATGGACTGGAAGGTGGCTGATGCACCCTGGGCTGCCTACTAGTAAATATATTAATTGATTTGATAAATATTGCAATGAACAGCGCACCACGCTTTTTTTAGTTATATAATATATTTATAATAAACTATAAACATGGCTTACTCTAAGGCCCTAATGAAGTAAATAGAGAGTATATTTTGTTTATTTCTGGCTTTTTAGTGCAGTAAATAAAGCGTGTTTTTAGTTTTTTAAACTATTAATTTATTTTTATTTTATGACCAGATGAGTCACTCTAATAGAGTTTTTTTTTTATATATAAAAAAGTACCAATTTTAAATGTGTTCTTCAAAGACTTGTAAGAATTTTATTTTTTTTCCTTAACCACTAAACTATCATAGGTGAAAGGGAAGCTACTATAAAAAAATACCATAGAAAACTATCAATGGCAAAAAACGACCATAGTAACTACCGTAAGAATAGTTCGTATCGGTAGTAACGGTAGTTAAGAGGTTACGTAAGAATAGTGAGAGAACTACGTTTAAAAACTACCATAAGTAGAGAGGAAGCTACTATAAAAAAAACCCGGTCAAGTGCGTGCGTGTGCGTGCCACGCGCATTGTAGAGTTCCGTAGTTGCTCGTCGTCACCATAATATATTTGGGAAAGAGTCAATATTTCAAGCAATTACTTCGTCTAAGTCACTTTTATTGTTTTCTTCTAAGGATTTTTTATTATGTTAGAAATGTTCTAATACATTAGTTAAACGACTATTACTCTTAAACTAACAAATCTATTTTAACCGTTATAAGACACACTACACGAACAAAACTTTGCACTTTAAAGCAGGGCTTGTAACCGGTTTCGAAAATACCGGTAAATAAAGGTTAATACCGGTTTTTAGTAAAAGTTTCGTTCGGAGCGCGTCCGAAATGAAAGCGGTACCTAAAACCTTAATAAACCGGTTTAATCCGGAGCGACACGTGTATGCGTCGGTATCGCTTGAAGTTTGTTTTGTTTGAACTAATCAAGTCACAACTTGTTAATGCTCAGAGATTGATGCATTTATTGACACGTTTGCTAGCGTCTAATGAGTCAGTTATTCATTTTGTAGTTGTGTACTGACACACTACTCGTACTTCACTCACTCGCTCTGTACTTGGAAAGAAACTGACATAAAACCATTATAAATTTAAATTGAAACGTTGAAGGCGATGCCGTCAGTAAGAGCGAAATGAAACCCTTTAAAAACCGCTAAATTGATTCAAAACCTGTTTGATTTCGCTTTTTAGGAAAACCGGTTTTTTTAAGGTTAAGGTAAGTAGAGCCAAACCTAAATAAAACGCTCCTAATGTACTTGATATTGATTTAGGTTTAAAAATTAACCGGTAAACAAGCCCTGCTTTAAAGTTCAATATTTCGCAACTATTCAAAGATATCCCATACGATGGGGTAGACGATGAAAAAAGTAAAATCATCTCCAGGTTACATGTAGGAAAGCTACACTAAAAATATATTTTTTTAAATTTATTTTCTACTATTTTGTCAGCATAATTACTATTTTATATACATATCTCCTCATACATCTCATACGCACAGAAATTAAAATGGGAGCTGGGCGGGCCCTGTAGCCCGAATGCCCAATGACAGATGAACTATACATACTATACAATACTATATACATATTATCTCCACAAAATAACAGCTATAAGGGTTCCTTGGACTAGGGAACTCTAAAAACGTCCACATGGATGAGTAAAAACTACCATAGAAAAACTCCCATGGAAAGGAGAAAACTACCATGGGCAAAAACTATATTATAAAAAAGGAACTTCGTTACAAAAATACTTGATGAAAAACAAAACTACACAAAAAATTTAACACAATAATTTATTTGAATGAATTTGCACGCCCACTCAAAGTAAAGTTGTTAAGTTCAGAAAATATTTATTGGAGTTGCGTACATCCAAAAAATAAAATAATATATGGAAAAAATAGGGACGTTCATCAATTTTATTAGGTATATTAATTTTAAAACATTTAAATAATGTAATCACATAAAAACTATAAAGCTTTACCTACTTATAAAAAATATGTCACCCTCAGCGCCGCCATTAGGAATGGTACCCAATAGGCTGACAGCATTCCGTGTTGGATGGCAAGGCAGATCCGTTGACCAAGATAGCTGCCAGCTTTTTGATCACCAGTCACTTCGGTGAGCCTCTTTGACATTTTCTTAAAAAGGAACGAGCGCTTGGACCCCATGGACCCATAGTCTCAACACCAAACGGCACAAATAGGTATGTAGTTCTCCTCGATATTTTTTTCCCGTACGCCAATTGATATTACGGTCGAAGATATAGTTTATCAATTATACCCTATTACTTGTTTATATAGTGTTACATAAGACCTTAAGTCTAGATAACGAGTGCCTTGAAGTAGTTTTTTACACCAAAACGTGTTTAGAGTATAAAAAAATGGGTTGCCTTAACTAACTAATTATGCAAAATATAAACATTCAAATATACCATTCGATAGAGAATTTTAAACTGGGTAAAGAACACTAATAAAGTGATTTTCCCATTTTTGTCCCTTACGTCAATTGAAATTCGGTCGAAGATAATTATTATACCTATTCATAAGTCAGCGCAAATGCAGTGTCGGTCAATGACCGTGGCCGGGCCGCATCGGTATCGTCGGTCAGCCGAAAACATGTCAAGATCACAATCATGAGGCCTAACATAACTGGACAATTTCTCTACTCAATGTTATTACCTATACCATAAACTGTTTATTATAAAATACTAATTCGATGGACGAAATGTTGACACTTCTTGTCGGCTGGAATCAATTCATCCTTCATGCTTCTGTTTTTTCAACCTACCTCATATATAAGCATATAATATACTCTTGTACAAATGACCTTAATTTACTGTAGCTAAAGTACATATTGAATGTTTTTTTTAAATCAATGTGTACTTATTCTCAATATTAGGTACTGTTAAACTAACTCCTTTCCAGCTATGGAACCACAAATGCAAAATATTGTTTAATCACAAGCACAGGCTCATCCTCTCGCCATAACAGCTGCCGCCACTGCGGCACACTGCGGGTCGGATTTTTTATTTTTTCTTAGATTTTTTACCAATGATAATTTCGTCGTGTTACTCGTGTTAATGGGAAAACTGAATAAATTTCAAAAATGAGATATTTCATTTCAAAGGTTTGACAAAGAAAATCTCTTGTTAAATATCGTATTTGTAACTTGCGTGAAACATTATAGTATAAAACAAATATTTGTCTTTTAAGTTCAATATTTTTTGTATTCCTAAAGTCTCAATTTAGTTGTTTTTCCCTGTAAATATTTTATAAAATAAAGCTCCAGTAAAGTTTCAGGAATTCTTTATGTTGGTCCATTATAATATTATTATCTATTTGTGTTTTGTTACATCTGTAAAAGCAGCACAAAACAAGTAATAAAAAGAAAACGAAAATTTTAGTTGGTTTTACTCGACTATACAGGGTGGCCGTGACAAAAAGACGTGGATCAATTGAAACAGGGAGATAAGGAGGTAATTTCCAACAAAAAATCTTTCTCCAGCATGACTATAACTTCATTGCACGAAAAGCTATGAATCTTTTTGTTTTTTTTTCAATGAAACTACCGATTTTTTTTACAATTTAATCAATAAAAAAAATATTAAAAACAATGAAACAAAGGTGTTATATTATGACTGGATTACGTATCAATACTACAGAAATTGTATAGGAGCTCTTGGTATAAAATTTAACGAGCAATGAATTTTTTCCGTAAACTTTGAAGCGTTGCAAAAAATTACTTCTCCCTTTAAAAGCAGCATGTGAAAAACAAATGTATTACAAAAAAGTGACTCTGTATTTAAAAAAAACTTGCTGATTTGATGCTGATTTAAATGAGGTACAACACTTTACTAGGTAAAAAGGTACACGTGCGCGTGCTAGCAAGCACTAGATGACGTGTGAAGTACCCGGCGCATAAATCAAAGCGAAAAAAATATAAGGCACGCTAGTCGGTTGTATATTTTATGTGTATCTTAATAGAGGGAATCTTAGTCAAGCCAAGTACAGCCGAGCTCTTTAATAAAATACTATGCCCTTATTTGGGCATAGTGGAGTTGGTTCACCTTGCAGAGGCCAGAAGCGCTTGGTCTAGGGCACGCCCGGGAGTAGATC